ACACGTGACCCAACCATCTCAGTCGATGAGGGTTCATAACCTCATGAACTGATTTACCGTCATTCCCTAATGCCCTGCGTCTAACCTCACTATTACTTACCCGGTGATCCCAGCAGATGCCAGAAATATTTCTAAGGCATCTGTGGTCAAATGCTTACGAATATCTTCAACTCTTAATGGACACGTTTCGCAGTCATAAAGTAAAAAAGAACGAACTTCTGAACATTTCAATGTGACATTACCGAACTAATAAAATTACAACTAAAACTTTGACAAAAAATAACACAAATGAACAATTCTGGCTTTAGAATTTTTTTATTTATTCAATTTAAATTAGAAATTCAGAAGAACCTATACATATATGTAAATATATATATAAATGTGTTTTACCTACATATATTTGATGAGATTTCATGTCTGTCTATTAACGGTATCAATCTAATTAAAATAATCGACTATTTCATCTGTTGTACACTTTAAATGGATATGAAAATTTGCCGGAGTGTGTCTATATGTATATATACACAACTATATAGTTTGTATGCAAATTCCCTTTAATTTATATATATATATATATATATATATATATATATATATATATATATATGCATAATTATTTATGCATGTTTTTTTGGTTGACTGAACAACAGTGATAATAGAAACTACACTGAGAACATGCAAGCTGTAGAAAGGAAACTAAATTATTTATATACAAAATTATCTAACTAAAATGATATTTAGTCTTCAGTTTAATTTAAAAGGGTTCAGAAAACGATCAATTATCAAAACAGCCAATAAATAAGGTACTGTCTGATTTACCGTAACATCAAGTACAACTAGGTTGCTTTTGTGCTGCATCAGGGACAGATTTATTTTAGTCCATTTTGTGTTTATGAATATCGTACAAACAAAAATCAATATGAAGATAACTTCTTACATCTAAAATATTTCATTCTAACATGACCTATTTTTATCGAGGTTCCTTAGATTTATGAACAAAGAGAGACCAAAAGAAATATCAAGTGACTGAAGGATTGGGGCTTCCAGTAAATTTTCATAAAGAATATTAATAGGAAAACTAAAAATAAGCTAAAAAAATAAAGGTACAACGCGAGATTTCAATCTTTCATGTTCAAGCTATTTAGATGCGTCGCAAATGAGATAAAGTACATCACAAGCTACAACGACGTGATTCTGTGATACTATTTGACGAAAATCGACCTTGTAAAATAGGGTCGATTGGGGACTGTCACTGATGCTATAGTTAGCAATGGCGGATATGTAAAAGAAGCTGCACCCAAAGCCTTGTTTAGTAGTGTATGAAGTGATAGGAGAACACCATGCTCTTTAGAGGTAGTCAACGAAAGATATGTTGTGAGGAGACACCCATCATGTTAATATTCATAGTTGATGTAAAAGTTAGTATAACTACTTCCAGTGGTTAGTAACTGATGAATGCCGTCTGATTAATGTAGAAACAATGTATCATAGCGGCTTGAAATGTTGCAGTAAATGGTTAAAAATAGAAAGCAGAAACGGCCGTTTTTGAAAATCGTATGATCCATCACCTAACTGGACGAAATCTACATTGATTGCGTTTCTAATCAAATTAGATGTTTACATATTTTCTGCTGATATTTTCACTTTACTACTTTTCTCTTTCTAATAGTTTACAACAGTTTACAGATTCACATTATGTAATGGCCTATCATATCACACATCTTTTATGTTATAAACGTCATACTTCGTATAAAATAAATTAGGTAGCTTGAAGGATACCGCAATTTCTTTTTTAATTTGTGTATAAGAATACTATGGTAGGTAGTTAAAAAAATAATAATTTAGTCTTCAACTCCATTGAATGTACTCATTAAAATGTACAAACCAATTTTATCGAGTTCACCAACTGAGTAAAACAAATATACGAATAACAGTAAAACAATTTTAAAATTTAAAATTCTTTGTTGTCACATGTTGTTTAAAAATTTATCTAAACTCTTCCAGTTATTATGATTAAAATAACTAAAGGAATTTTTAGAAAAGTAAGAAATATCAGTCTTTACTTTGGGATTAACGGTACTTTTTTGTATCACAAGAATATGGATATTCTATGAAGTCTTTGGGAAAAAACAACACATAATGACCAGAGAGTCACTGTGAACCTTTTGGCAAACATTCCGTGTAGTGACACGTTACACCCACAATCAAAATGAGAGCGAAACAATAAAAGCGATGAGACTTTATGTTTATGTGACCAATATCACTAGTCTAAGTAACTTGGCATAGTGTTCACTATATTGAGATATTAAGTGGTTGGACGTAGTAGACAAAAAAATCTCGAACGAAATCCTGCTCCATACTTTTAGTACTTGTCTGATATGCCTTGCTGACAAGAAGCGCTGGAAGTGGATAGGACACACATTGAGGAAAGCACCCAACTGCGTCACAAGACAAGCCCTCACATGGAATCCTCAAGGCCAAAGGAGAAGAGGAAGACCAAAGAACACATTACGCCGGGAAATGGAAATAGACATGAGAAAAATGAACAAGAATTGGATGGAACTAGAGAAGAAGGCCCAGGACAGAGTGGGTTGGAGAATGCTGGTCAGCGGCCTATGCTCCATTGGGAGTAACAGGCGTAGGTAAGTAAGTAAGTAATATCTTCCATAAGTCAAAAATAATCTGAAGTCATATATTTATAGAAGTAGCCAAGAGAAAATGATAATGGCCATATGCTAAACAGTTCAATCTAACGTCGCAATATAATGGTTTTTATTAGCGTATAATTAATAATAAACAGACACAAACGTTGTTGTGAACATGAGTGAAAGAACCATTAGCTAACATGAAAACTTCAAATAAACACATTCACTGACTGCACATTCACTATTATATGTGAGGCAGAAACTCTAGTCGATTACATAAAACCAGGTCGAATGAAGTTATAACTATATAAAACTTCCAGATGTAGATTATTTTACTTTTGTTTCAGAAATCTTAAGTCTGATTTTAAATATTAAACTGGTCAATTCGATTCACTAGTTACAATATAAGCATATTATTGACAGAAAAACGAACGATGCTTATGTAACATGTTATCTGTGTAATAGTAGGACTTAACTGAAGCGCTAGAAAATTTTTTTGATTGTTACTAAGGTGATTGTGATAAAGATAACTGACAAATTAAGCATTCGTTTTGAATGTATGAGTTTCTTAAAATAAGTTATGTGGTATGAAGTATGATGATCAACTGATTCATTCTGAGTTTTGATCGATAACAAAGGTATGTGTTCATATGCTATATATATCTGTGTACTACCAGTCAAGTGATATGAAAACATGTTTGATAAATAAATTTGAAAACGAAAAATAGTTAACCAAGCAAATGTCAAAAATTGTCTTGACTATCAAAGAAAATTGAATGGTTAGGTGTGCAGATAAAAGCAGCTTAATTCTAATTACGAAGACAAACATAAAGGATTTGTGCTTACAAATATCTCATTCTCTCTCTCTCTCTCTCTCTCTCTATATATATATATATATATATATATATATATATATATATATATATATATATATATATATGAGGAATTTTCACATAATTATGTTGTAAATGTTGGTTAGACGTGGTCGACAGGAAGCACTGGATCTATGTCTCATGCTAGTTAGCACTCGTCAGCAAGGTGCATCTGTAATTTTGAGGGTACCGACGCTCACTCAACCTCATAGTCAGACTTTATCAACGAGCTATCAGGGTCGCCATTGATCTTGTGTAGGACTGAGATATCTGTACATAGTGCACGCGATTTTGAGTCATTTAGGCTAGTGGCCATATTGCATTTCGAGCGACGGAATTCCATCAAAACTTAGAAGTACTTGATATACATGACATTGGTCACAACTCAGCGAACAATCAATTGAAAATAATGAGTTTATTCACAGGATAGATAAATCGTGCTCACGCCTAGATAAATTGTCAAACAGCCATAGTGTTAGCAATTGTTTGTACAATCAACTGTTGATATTCCAAACAGAATTCTGATCAGTGTTTGATGGAACACGCGACAACATGTATACTCAGAACGAATGACCAAAACTCACTGGTGAATATCAGCAACGAGGTGATACATACACCTAAGAATAGAAATAGTAGCATTGCTTATACAAAACGTTGGATGCAGTTTCAGAGTAATTCGAATTTTTTCGATTTTTTTTACATGATTATGAACGATCTTGAAGGCATTAAGTGTTTACGTTATGGAAGCACAACATTATACACCGTGTTTCTTAATTTTGTAATGAAGCTTTTATGGTTTGTATTTAAATGGTCCAATAACCTGAATCAACTTCATACTACTCTTAATTGAAAATAATCACTACGAAATTGGATGTTAGTACTACTATGAAGGTCATTATACTATCGTGATTTGCCACAATGACTTATTTCATTAAAATAGTAAATATTCCTCGTCATTTGAGACGTTTTTCAATGCTTATTAACAAATAGGTTGTGGAAATTAATTTCCTACAGATGTAATTCTAAACTATTCCCTAGACTGTCGGGCACAGTCTTAGCTTAGCCAAGGTCAGGACAGGTAAGCTAGGACTCTGTGCTCAACAGTCTACGGAATAGTTTAAAATTGAATCTGTAGGAAACTACTTCCTACACAGATAGCCACCCATACAATATAGTCAATGTCTGTATTTTCATTTTTCGGTTGTTTTTTTACAAAGAGTACTGCTACTTCATTACTACAACAAATGAACCTAATTCAAGTGAACAAAAAATACGAATAAGCAGGTGAAAATGACTATAATGCACACTTGTTAAAAGAATGGGTGAACATCAGTTAACACCATTTATCCCCATTACTGAAACGTGATCTGTTTAAAATATCAATAAGACTTAAAAGTGAGAAAAGTGAAAAGGCCCTACTATATATCAGTAACAAAGTTGTAGTTAACGATAACTATGAAGAACAACCAATAACGATAATTACCTTAACCAAATGTTGATTAACCCAATTGGTGAAGGCTTTCTTTTGTATTGCATCACGTTCATCTAATACAAAAATTTTAAAAACAGAAGGTAAAGACTCATATATTTCCAAAAAAGCATGCACATCTGTTTGTATATAAAACAGTAAATGCAGACAACAGTGGAAAAATAGGCAAATACAAAACTAATTACATTCATACGTTATAGAGGTGGATTTTGTTATTTTCTGGACAATTTTCGATTATTAAAACGGAAGAAAATGTAACGAAGTAAACTATGGTCGAGTGATGTCTGTTTATGAGACCAGAATATAAAAGTATCCCACTAAATGATTTGAAATCGAAGACAAGATCATCAGCCAGGAGAACAGATATTCAATGTGATAAAGTGCAAGTTCACATACAAAGTAGTAACACGAAACAAACATGGTAAAATTTCATAGGCGACTGGAGGAAATCAGTTTGTACGTCTCCCACCTTCCGGTCAATTTGGACCTAATTGTTAGCCCTGATTCTTAGAAATTATATTAGTGTAAGTTCAACACAATACGTCTAACGTCAAGTTCAGTGACACCAACTTTTTACAAAGACTACAATATGCGAAATAAAGCTACTGATAGTGATTCGGTAGTAAGTATATGAATGGTCGAACCATAAAGTTGAGCTTTTACTAACAAAATAACGATATATAGTAATAAGTAGTAATAATCTTGATTTAGACCTTTAACACGACCCTTTATTAAACTACAATAATTTATAAAAAATATGCTACAAAAATTACGTACATATGAATACTTGTGCAAGTAAATCAATCCATAAGTAGAGTGAGAGTGAAACTTGCGATTCACGTTTGTAAACCAATCAATCACAACTGTACATATAAAACGCAACCTAACAAGTAACCATATAGTTATGTTTAGAATAATCCTCAATTGTTCGTCCGTCCAAATGTGCCGATGTGAACTGTTGCAAATTTTTCGAAGGGCAGTTCAACTGGCCTGCTGCTCCGGCAACATCGGTCAGACTGTCCTGCCCTCCATGGCCGGTGACGACTGATCCACCAAATGAGGAGGAAGTCCGCAAGGAACTCCAACTCTTGAAGCGTTACAAATCACCTGGCCCAGATGACTTACCTCCGGCTCTTTTTAAAGATGGTGGTGACTTTTTGACTAAGGAATTGACGACGTTGTTTACAAAGGTTTGGGATCTAGAGAGTGTACCAACGTCATGGAATGAGTCGATAGTTGTCCCTATCTTTAAAAAGGGTTCACGTCGTTCTTGTAACAACTATCGGGGGATAAGTTTACTTCCGATTGCGTCCAAGCTATTGGCTTCCGTCATTCTTCGTAGGTTGTTCAAAACCCGAGAAAGATTGACTCGCGAGGAGCAGGCTGGGTTTCGTTCTGGTCGAGGATGTATTGATCATATCTTCACCCTCCGCCAAATGTTAGAACACCGCCATACTTTTCAAAGGCCAACAATCGTAGTGTTTCTTGACATCAGGGCTGCCTTCGATTCGTTGGATAGGACTGTTCTCTGGGATTGTCTATTGGAGAAGGGTGTGCCTGAGAAGTTTATTAACATCCTAAAAGCCCTGTATAAAAACGCCTCAGGCAGAGTGAGGGCATACAACCACCTCTCTCCATTGTTCCATTCGAGCAGTGGGGTTAGGCAGGGTTCCCTGATCTCACCATTCCTCTTCAACTTTGCCATCGATGACATTCTGGAAACAGCTCTGATGAATGTAAGTAATGGTGGTGTGGATCTGTTGCCTGGAGAAAGACTTCTCGACCTTGAGTATGCGGACGATATTGTCTTACTGTGCGATAATGCCCAAGGCATGCAATCCGCACTTAATCAGTTGGCAATCAATGTCCGTAGGTATGGTATGTGCTTTGCACCTTCGAAGTGCAAAGTACTTCTACAAGACTGGCAGGATTCTAATCCTGTACTCACCCTGGATGGTGAGCAGATAGACGTAGTTGAGAAGTTCGTGTATCTGGGTAGCATCATAAGTGCTGGTGGGGGTGTGAGTGATGAGATCAATGCACGAATAGTGAAAGCCAGAGCGGCTTATGCCAATCTGGGCCACCTTTGGCGCCTTCGTGATGTTAGTCTGGCTGTAAAAGGCCGGATCTACAACGCGTCGGTGAGAGCAGTTTTGCTCTATGCTTGTGAAACCTGGCCTCTCCGAGTTGAGGACGTTAGACGACTCTCTGTGTTCGATCATCGCTGTCTCCGAAGGATTGCTGACATTCAGTGGCAACACCATGTCAGTAATGCAGAGGTTCGGCATCGTGTGTTCGGGCACAGAGATGATAACTCAATTGGTGTCACCATCTTGAAACACCGACTTCGGTGGCTTGGACATGTTCTCCGAATGTCGTCCCAGAGAATTCCACGTCGTGCATTATTTGCGGACTCTGGGACTGGTTGGAAGAAGCGGAGAGGTGGTCAGTGCATGACATGGTGTCGTGGCATGAAAGAAAGCTGCAAAGGACTGGCTTGTGTTGGTCCTTCACGACTCCCTGGTTGGGGTCCGAGAGATGGTGCAACACAGTGGCTAGAGACGTTATCAGATATGGCTCAGAATAGAAGCCAGTGGCGATCCTGCTGTAACCTTCTTTTACTTTCTTCATAAAAAGTGGTTGTGTCTCCTTTACCTGAAAGATTTCTTCTGATTGTACCTCTTCGTCATTACTCTCTTTTTCTTTTGCGTTCCTTAGTTTTTTTTTTTTCTTTCTACTTCTCTTCGAATTCCCATTGTTTTGTGTGGCGCATATATATTGGCGCTCTCTTGTACCAATATTTATGTGTTCAAATAAATAAATAATAAATAAATAAGTTGCAAATTGCAAAAACATCTTTGTATCAAGTCCTATACTGTTTTTACCATTTATTTTTTCAATCACTTAACCTCACTAAATCAACAGTCAATTTTCGCAACTCATCCTCAGTAGTTAGGATCTCAGTACTTAATCTCCGTATTCTGTGTAGTAGCCAAAATAGGGAAATCATGATGCACGAAAATGGTTTAGTCTGTATACATACCAAATGACTGTACCTTGTATGTAGGGAGTGTTCAGCGGTAGGTGATCAAAACGGGTTAAATACTAGTCGTCGCAGATAACCTTGATGTGAGGCTAAGAAGGTAAGGCTGGACAGAAAAACATTCATGGGTAGAAACGTATTTATAACATGGTTGGATAAACATTTTAAAAACACACCTCATGTACTCTATCCCATAAAAACACAGATTACACTTTACCAAGAGATTTCACCTAACGGGGATTGATTGTACATTATTTTAACAACCTAATGTATCTACCTCCACGTCGCTGATGATAAAAGCTCTCTGAAGATCAGTATATAACTATTGTCAAGAGAAATCATAATTGTAATTCCAAAATCAGAAAAAGTAAAGAACTCTGAAAAGCAACGACTCGATGAAGACATGAATTTAAACGTATATATACATATATACAACATATGCATTTGAAAACGACACGATGTTGCCGAATTGTTTGCCAGGACACTTACTCAAGAAATATAATGGTTTCAATGAATGAATCAGATAGTATCAAATGAGCGTATTAAGAGATGAAAAACTAAAGATGTAGGACGACAAAGTCAGAAACAGCACTAAATTTACGTGAGCGATTCGGCCATAAATATGTATTTTCTTTGTCGTAAATGTACGAGTTGTAGAATTCTCTTCATAATAGATTTGTTATTTGCCGATTTTAAAAGATGGAGGACTTGATTACACTGGGAAATTCGGATGAATTGTAATACGATTAGTTTTTATTTGCTCCTAAAGTTAGCAAACAAGTAGCTAGACTACACGTTGGCTGAAGGTTATCTAGCACGTAGCCTTTTAATCATGTTAGGAATTGAGTTTTCCGAAACCAAAAAGCCTCCAAGAAGACAAGAGGCGTTTTCCAGGATTGCAGATGGTTTGATTAGCGAGTAGTCGAAATTAATCAAAGCTAACAAATCGTACTAAAGCTTGAAGTCGGTAAGAGCATCACAACACGTACAAGCATTTTAAAAGATCATAAAGTCCAAAAACATAAGACCATAAGCGCTTCAAAGTGCGAAATTCGCAAGTATATTAGGTCATACAGTAATTCATTTTCTTGCAAATGAAGCTTCTGATATTGGAAAGTCGACTTAGTTGATATTCCGACAAAGATGCGATTGTACGCAGCATAGTAAAATTATTCATAATTTAATCGAAAAGCTGACGTTACCTGCGATTTTTATTACTGCGCGGTCTGCAGGGTCCAATCTTAGTACGCTAAGAGAAAGATGAACTTTATCGAAGTTAACACTGTTTCGGGAATAGTCGTTTAATAAACTGAGAGTTGGCAGTGATACTGGCGTCACGTTGTTTGTCCCATTTAAATGGATAAGCGGTTGAGAAAAGCAACGCAGATTATCAATCTTGTCTGACATTATTATAAATGCTCACGAGTCTGTGCGAACACGAAGTAGCGCATCTCGTGTATCTGGCGCAGTTGTGAACAAGTATTTTTAAACATCCAAACAATCAGAAAGCTCAAATGGTTCAAATGACTGTGAGCGGAATGTCATATGCTTCTTTTTGGGTGCCTTCCTCATTTAGTCACAATGGACCGTCTATGCCTTCAAATAACCTTCACTGGAATCATAAGTAAATAGAAGTGTCCGTAAATTAATAACAAACGTTAAACCTAAAACTGTGCTTTGTAGAACTAACAGATCAGTTTTTCCTTGAGATTTGTGTATGCGTGGTAGGTAAGGTAAAGTTCTTGGTGTGTTCCCTTTGAAACGGAAGGGCGAAAGCATTAGTTTTCAATATACGTTTAAATCGGTTTATTGATTTTAATTCTGCACATCCATTCAATGAAAATTTTTCCTAAGACCTGAATCACTTTAGAAGAACAACCAGGACCACTACTTCAGAAGACAAACTTGAAAAGAAGATATAATTACCCCCCTCCAAAAAAAATTTAGTGATTTTCCTAGAAATATTATTCGAAACATATTAAAATGAAACTGTCCGCCTTAAAAAAATCCTAATGAAATTTCTTGGGTTGGCACTGTTGTTTTACTTCACCGACAAAGCACGACGGAAGAATGACAGTGGATATTGAAAAAGCACAAAATTACAGCTTTCTATAGGACAACTAGCACTCTAAGAAACGCCTTAGTTAGAACTAAAGATACGATCCCATTTACTCCTGTACAAAGTTGTGTCAACAGATCACATTATGTCTAGTGGGATGCGTCCTATATTCGAGATTCTTTCCATGAGATCCCAAGTCGTGCCAAGGAACGCTAACGTCACACAAAAAAGGCCTCCCAATAATCTTGTAGAATTGGAATTTTTACAGATTAAATCAGCAATAGCAAGATATGCTATTTTCGATAATCATCACACGGATATCAAAATAGTCGGTAAAGTCTTTACCAACTATAAAGAAACGCGAGTAGCTGAAGCGTTTCACATTATGTTGAATCCCTCTGCCCTGAATGGGAAAGAAGTCCTGGATATTTATCCAACTTGGACCATTTATCCAAACAACCATATATGTTCCTATTTATTTGGCTGCAATTAAACGCAACTCAATCTCGTAAATGTGCCCTTCAACTTAGCGAACAATCAGAATGAGGTGGGAACTATTATATCCGCCATCTTTGTGAGCGATAGCTGTCGGCTTTCTTCGTTCTGTGCTTTGTTCAGCTATTTCTTTTGTGTAGCTACAGAATTTAATGTTTCAGTTTGCTAAAATGCAGAAGTTAATGTAATACTCTGAATGTTGGAGCAATTTTTCTCTCATTTTGCTTTCTTTTCTGGGTTTTGGCTGCTGCCGCTACTGAAGTCAATGTATTTCTTCAGCCAAGCTGGCTAGTCTTATCAGTTTTGTTTTGACTTGTTTTCTAGATATCCAAAGCCGAAGCTCGTTTTTTAGCTAAAATAATTGTTGCTGCCGCCTGTGACTAACTGTCCGCATCTTCGTTCCTAATTGTCCTTTATCGGCAAAATGAAAGGAAACAATTACCGGCTTTCAATTTTCTTTAGTATTATGGACAACAATATCCCACCAAAGAATCAAACTAATACTGAGTGCCCAACAGTAGGGGATAACAGTATTGTTTTCGAAAGAACTCAGACTTCCAATAACTCTAGATGAGGTCACAGATGCTACCAATCTATTGCAGAGGGTTTGTTATGAAAAATATGCCATATAGCAGTAATAGAAGGGTTTTACTCATTACGTTGTGCGTTAAAGCAAGCTTAACATTGAAAAGCCGAAAATGCGCTATCAGTGTGTAGTGTATGTTTGCTGTTTTGGCCATAAAATGAAGCCTAAGGGTCATGATAAGAGAATAAAAGGTAGTTAACTGTTGTTAAGCTCACTTTCTTATAGATCATATTTCACCACTCGCAAATCTGTTTTTTTTTGCGGAATGCCGTCAATCGGTACCTAATATGTTCACCCTTACGATGAAAAGTACCTGCAAAGTTTCACCTTCATATTCGAATTGTTTTTGGAGAACTGTCTTCTAGTTTGAGTGCCTCGTACGCTATAGGGGACTAGATTCCTACATTGTTCGTAGTTCCAGTATAACTTTCTCACGCAGTAAGTTCAAAGTAGACACTAGTCTTTCTAAATAAGCCTGTTAAGCTAATATCCGTATTCTCTATTTCAGTTAATCGATGAAGACATGTGCCACGTGCATCTGCTGTATACTGCCATTTTACTCCAATTCTGTTATACCTTACTTCTGAAAAATAAAATTGCTATATGCAGCAAATACAGAGTCCTTTTTATGGAGATAGGGGGGTTCATGGGATTTCTAGCAGGACTGTAATAATATTCTCACTAAATAGCTAAGCGAGTGCGTAGACCAATGTAAGATACCATACAGGGTGCCTTTGACTTACTAGTGTTCCATTAGTACAGGTAGGGGCATTAAATGCTTATCATATGGCATTTGAATAAGGAGCTATAGGATTAGACGCAGGGACGGTTAGGATGTGTAACGCGTGTACATCCATCAGCTGCCGTGATAACCCATGGTGGCTAGAATAAGTTGTGAGAGGACCCGAGTCTGTAGGTTTCCCAGGAAAATGACGAAGATATATACCAAATCACCTTATGAGGAGTGCCTCTAATCACTTAACCTTAACCCATTAGAGTATAGACGTATTCGAGGTGACCTAATGGCTTACAGTATCCTTAACACTTCTGGACATCCCCTTAAACACCTACTTAAGCTTAGTCCCAATACAAACCTAAAGGGTAACACCCAGAAATTGGAGATACAACATAGCAGAACGGACTGTAGACACAACTTCTACTCCTTAAGAGTTGTCACATGCTGGAATTTGCTGCCAGATGAGCTAGTGCAGACGACTTCCCAGGAGTCCTTTAAGAGGAAACTTGACCTATTCTTACGGACTTAGGATGACATCTTATTATGAGCTGCCAATTTCTTTTTTTCTAATATATTATAGATAATGTACCTAGGTTCCTGCCTAGATGTATTGGTGATTCCTTGCTACTAGACACGGAGGCTTGTTAAGCGAAAGCTTCTATTTAGTCCACAACCATTTGAACACATGAACTAGGTGCTGAGAGGCTCGCTTGTCACAAGTTTCTTGCAACGATTAAGTAGATAAAACAAAGTAGCATTAGATTCAAAAATTTATTTAAGAACTTTCATTAAGAATCGAATATCAAACAAAGGTTTAAACCAAGTTCCCGTTTAAAAGTTGTATCGGTAATGTTAAGCTGCAGTTTTTTTCCAAACGAAAGAGTACAAGAAGTCAAAAAAATACTGGAAGTGGTTGTGAAACTAAAATGGACGTTCAGCATCCTTTTTATCATCTGCTGTTAGTTGGGTCTCCCGTAAACAGTTCCATAGGGCCATAGTACTAAGGGCGAAACAGTTTTTAGGATCTGTGAAGGCTCACTCCTGTTGCATTCTAAATGAGAAAATAGTGATGAATATAGTCAGAAATGTGGAATAGATAAATAACCAAATTACATGTTTTTAGCAAAGAATTTATGCAGTTGTGATTTACCTTGAGTTCATGAATATTAGATAAGGTCAGCTACTATTACTTGCGCAAAGCATAACAAGGGCTTTGTACCGTATTGCAATGCTTTTATTATTTTGCTCCCATTTAAGTATTCTCATGCATCTGCGTCTAATTTAACAAGAAAACATACAAGCAGAGTAAGTATCTCATAAACTAAAAGTCCCAGTTGTCAAAAAGATTCTTAGCATTTGTCCACAGCCAGCTGCATTTAGTTGAGACACAGAACACTCATGTTTTAAGACTGTATACTGCTGTTTTGAGGGCAACTAAAAGCTCAGACGCTTAGCTATCTTGCTACCGATGTTATTGCTGGGGAAATTTGTTTAATGACAGTGATCATGAAATATGATCAGTGATAGATATACAGTCTAGAAATAAACAACAAACATACTTATCGCTATCATATAATGTATGACAACAACAGCATCAAAGGCACGTTTTTCCCTATTTTTAATCAGACTGATCTGTCGCACCTCGCTTCATTTCGTTTCTCTTCCTTCACTTCATTTCTATACTTGTCTGTCTGGAACAATGAGTGCATAAAAAGGAGTGTATACGTATTCAAAACTCAATCTGACATTTGGCTTATCTTATTCCATTATTCACCAACCTGAATCAAGCAGAAAATGGTATATTTCGATAAAAATCAGCATACTATTTAACTGAAGTCAGATCTAGGGTCACTGAAAAGTCTATTATTATAGCAGCAAGGATAAATGTATCAATACCGAACTGGAGCCTAATCCTACACATTAACTTGATTAAGACTCCAACTCCAACATCGTTATATTAGGCAAGGATACAAAGCTGGGTCCAAGGTTTTCATCTCTGTGTAAGGTGTTTCTGGGAAGCATATTTCGGCGATGTGGAGCAAACGTGCAGTTTTAGTAGAAGTATGAGTGGGACTATTGCTTATGAACGACCTTTGATTGACACTAAAGTGACCGTGAGAGCGTTTACCTACTTACTAGGGTTAAATGAGGGTTATAAAGCAGTTGAAAGAGTAAAGATTATGATTTACAGTTGATCGTTAGCGTTAGGAATAAAATTTCATGCTTTCATCACAAACTGACGTCAGCTATAATGCCGAGACTCTATTTAGCCAAACGGATGAATGAAGTTTGCGCCAAAATCCGCTTGGTTCGTTCACAAATTATAGTCTCGCCGGTTTTTAAATCTATTATTTTCTCATTTGGCCAAACATCAAAGCAACAAAAAGACACTGAAGCTCAAGCTTCCTTGTGAATGTTGTTAGACGTTTAGGTATGTTATTACATCTGGCCACTGAACACCTAAATGTGATTTATCATGAGTATAAACACTAATGCATACTAGTCTATAACTCAGTGCAAACTGGTGTAGCTTTTAGGGAAGTTGTTGTCGTACTATTTATTCTTCTCCTGTCGACGTCTTCCAG